GTGTATTTTGCTTTTATTTTCAAAGCTAGATTAATGTCAAATGCGTTTGAATATGAACGCCTGAATACTTGAAGCAAATAATTGTAAACTAACGTAGTCAAATGAAAAAAGGAATTCATCAAAACTCAAACTAGTGTGCCTTACTACATTCGGGTTATCAAAACAAAAGACAAAAATTAAAAGGCTAGCATGCCATAACACCAAAGTAAGTTGATAAGGCATACGGAACTTATTATTCGTAATGACATTTATTGGAAGCGATAAGAAATGTCAAAACGTATACTGATATCAAGCACAATCAAAACATTGCTTATTGATGACGGCGAGCTCCAACTGTCGTCAGTCACTCGGTAAGCAACTCCAACCTTCCCAAACTAGGATAACGGTATGTCTCGATTCATGACTCATGAAGGTCACTTGAAAGATGAAACTTGCAGTTCAAAACAGACATACCAATGCGACAAATTAAAGACGCGCTGAYGGACAAACACAAGAATCTCTGCTCTAGAGAAATCATGTAGTTTGAGGATGCCAATATTATTTGAATGCTTTACTGTAAAACTTTAGAAGGGCTTACATGGTTACGCGTGSGAAAGCATATATCATATCAATCATGACGCATATATTGCGTAGTGATTTTACGAGCAAAATGGGGATATAACAGATCGCGTATCTCAATAGCCTGAAGTGTGGCTTTGTGAATCATTTAAGGTCAAACCCATAAAAAGTTCGCATTGGCTGGTAATAATACACATGTTTTTTTAATTAGAGTTTTAAGAAACTCGGCTCCTGTTTTATATGAATATACATTGTCCTTTCTAATGGCCAACTTCGGAAATTCAATTACTACTCTTTTGTTAAAACAGCAAAAAGACAACAAAGGCACAGAAGCTACAGAAGCYTTAGGGAAACAAAGTGATTAATGATATCAATTACTGAATGTTAATTATATTACGATTTGATTTCAGCACCTTTTCGAACTGATTATGCGACGCTAGATATGACTCGGCATCCTGACTGATTAGATCATTATTGATCTAGGGGCAAGAGGGGTAAATATCATGGATATTGATAACAATCGGCTCTACCATTAAGAAACACTGAAAGTTGAACCTTTAGTTGTTCATGTCAAATATACAGTAGTCRATTACCAGGTTCAAAGGGGAGGGGGTAGGGATGCCCAGGCTCACAAATAATGATTTCATCTTCACCAACTTGTGAAAATTCCAGTCCAGTCGACTCAAAATCAGCCCGGAGTCACAGTCTTCGTAATACCTAAAAATATATTTAACATTTAATTACAACAAAATATATCCGCTGCACTGATTTTCATGATTCACTTCCTTTATCTTAAACTTAGCCGACTGAAAAATACGTCGTCCTAGCATGGAAACCAGAATCATAAACAATTATGAAAGCACGCAAAGCGCAACGCATGTAAGGGTTTTATCATTGATAACCTAAAACTAGCTACCTATCTAGTCTAACTTTTAAGTTATCATAGGTAGCTTGTACTTTTATGTATGTCATATTTCTCACAAATGTAAATATTTAAATATTGTGTYATATTAATAAGTACTGAATAAAATATTGATTGAAAACTACAATGACAAAAAATGTTGCGCAGTCCCTCTAAACGGCTGGATATATCGTTAACCGTAACCATATAATGGTTATTACCGCGTATGAATATGAAAACGATGTGTGATGATAAACGATAATGATAACACTCATTACGATGGAGTTAATATGCCTCAGTACAAGTATTAATAATCATTATTCTAAAGATAATGAAGATAAAACTGGCGACACAAGTGGTAGATTTTTTAGATTATGAAATTTTGTCTTCTACGTATGGATTAGGTTTTTTCCAATCAACCGATACCATAATAGAAAAAAGGGTGATATCATCTTAAATTATTCGCGTYGTAAGATGTGTTCAACTGAAAAATTCAAAGCATAAAGACATTCACGAATAATCCATTGTTGGCTTTCGTCAAATGTTCGTGATCTGTTTATTAATTGGAATTTAGAATTTTAAATCGCATCAATTATACCCCTTTCTTTTGTGAAATTAAAGTTCAATAATTAAGCTAATTATTTCTACAGATTAAAGGTCAGAAACAACTTACGATAATTGAGCAAGAGTTATTTCAGTTCAATCCCGCCAAGCTGCGCCATTGTCATTTTGCGGTGATTATAAAGTGTCTAAGCAGAGCAATTTTCTTTCTTTGATCAAATCACCAAATTACTAAGATAAAAAAGTAAATTACTCTATAATGCCATAGTTGACTATTAACTATGGTAATGAAATCAAGTGAGCTCGTTTGATATTTAAGACCAATTAATAAACAGTTTCAATTAATTGAAATGTATTAAAATGTGAGAAACATAGTGTGAGTTATTCAAAGCTCGTGCAAATCGGTCACTATGTTTCCTGTATAGGAAGGAAAGGGCCGAAATCAATTTTAGCAAGCTAAGAAAAACCACTAAAAAGTAGAGAATGGTCAGAAGGGAGCGATCAGAAGAGAAAAAGAACACAAACTCGATTGAGACCAACCTTGTGATATAAACACTCTGGGAGCTGTTTTGCTCTCGAAAAGCGAAAGAAACACTCGGGTATGCCTCGGGTTTTTAAGGTGGCTTGCTTCTCTCGTCATCTGCAGATCTCAGCGTGTTTAAAAATCAACCACACCCTAAATCCATGCGTTTGACTAGGTTCTTCAATTCGGCGGAAAACCCAGATTCTTAAAGCCGGGGGCGGAATTGATAGTATTTCGTGTTTTGCATCGAAACAATGGAATTTAGGGCTTAGTTGATATTTTAAACCAGTTCAAACGCCCAGGCTCGGTTTTGCATTAATGCAAAACCTCCCCCTAGCGTTTGAACTTACATATTTATTTTGATATTTATATCACAGTACATGAGCGCATTCAAACATATCCGTGCTTCTCACATAGTGGAATTTAAAAACAGGCAAAGTAGATGATAATGCGGAGCGATCTGTGACATATTGATATAACTCAGTTTGGGGTTTGTTTTTTTTTTTTAGTTACGGGATACCTGATCGCCAACTTGGCTATAGCAGATCTTGGTGTTGGCCTATTGTGCATTCCATTCACTGTTGTTGTGTTTGAGCTCAACTTTGTTTGGCCCTTTGGTTACTTTATGTGTAAGCTTATTTCTCCAATTCAAGTTTTCTTCTTAATGGGATCTGTTGGCACGTTGATGGCGATATCAATAGGTAAGTATCATGAAAACGGTTATTATCCACGGGACCGAGGTAACAGTAGCGGCTTTGTGGATCGAACTGTTAAATGTTGGGGGAAACTGTAAAAAACATAATTTTTCTCTCATGGCCCAAGTATGAGGATGATTTCTTTCGGAGATAAAGGTACATTCAAGCAGGACCTTACGTAATATACATGGAATGGGGAAAGCATGGGAGACTAGGGTGTGTTTTTATCAAAGAAAAAGAAAATGCTAAAATTAATGAGTGTTTCGTAATAGTCTTAAAAATGTCAGAAAATATGCTTGCTCTTATTTCGAAAACTAGTCCTTCATTCGTGTTTTATGTAGTGTTTAAAAAACGAGTAGGAGTGTTTTATCAGGTATAAAAGCACGAGGCGTAGCCGAGTGCTTTTATACTTRATAAAACACGATCTACGAGTTTTTTGAACTGCTTAAGACACTCATGAACAATTTATAAGATTTTGGTTCAACTGGAGCCACCATACACGTCACGAACATGGATTTTTATACTTTGATAGAGATTTGACGTCACGGGCATGCGCAACCAGATTCAATAGAAGCTCCCACACGTTGGATATTGCGTGCCAAGGCAAAGACAGGCACGTTAGTCAAAGATCATTAGGGTTGACTATGACCTTGATGAAGCTCTATGTCTTCATCTAAACTTGAATGTATACTTCATCCCTGATGAAGTCATCCTCATAGTATTCGAGTGGTCTTTATATAAAGATCACATGTGTCTTTATATAAAGACACATGTGTCTTTATATAAAATCACTTGAATACTAATGAAGAGGACTTTATCGGTTATAAAGGTTCATGCACGTGACGTGTATGGTGGCTCCAATTGGACCATAGGCTTATGAATTATTAATGAGTGTTTTAAAAGAGAATTAAACAAATATAAACAGGATTTATTTGTTAACTAGAAGTGTAGACCATCGACAGAATTCATTCCTGAATTTTACCAAACTCAAGGGGGCGTAATGTCAATAGAATATCTAGAAGGAAGAAAGGAAAAATAATAATAGAGCGAAGCTATAGGCATAACCAGAGTAGTAATGACCTGCTTTTGTCTTGCTGTTTAGATCGTCACCAGTCAATCGTTTACCCATTTAATCCAAGAATTACGATAACACAAGGGAAGCTCATTATTGCCCTTATATGGTTGATTGCACTTTTCCCAGCATTCCCTATGCTAGGAGTCATGAAACAAAGCTATACATGGCATAAGGATGGCCAACCAGCGTGCATGGAAGATTGGCCTGATCAGAAGCTCAACGTCGCGTATACAGTTGCTTCATTTCTTTTAACCTACGCGATTCCTCTGCCAATGATAATCATCCTTTACATAAGAATTGGTTTGAAGCTAAGGGARGCAATAAAGGATGCCGCTGACCGACCTGGTTTTCATGCAGCTCAACAAACCACACGGATAATCAAGATGTTGGTAGCAGTTGTTGTTTGCTACGCTTTGTGTTATCTGCCATTCCACACTTTGTATTTCACTGTTTCATCAGGACACAGGACAAGGTATGTATCTTTTATTTACGCCATTTTCAATAAGAAATAAGACTAACGCTTAAGCTAACCACTAACAGACCACTATGTGTTACTTCAAATTTGTTGTCTCTGACTTTACATTATTTAATAATTTAGTATCATGCATCAGCCTAGTAATTGCAGTGATATTGCAGTGTCCTTGGACTTGGACTTAAAATCATTTTAAATCCAAGGACACTGGAAAAGATTTCTTGTTATACCATCAGGGGTTTCAATGTTCGTCACGTGGCTTGATTCTAAGCATGTAAAACTGAAATGATTTTTGAAGGATAAATAACTTCAGTTCCCACAGTAAAAGGTGTTAACGAAGCCGGAGGACGAAATCCGTCGAGAATGTAATCTAAGAAGTTCACTCTTATCTCTATTCACTTTATTATGGTTATTGAAAGTCATCCATTGGTCGACCTCCAGCAGGCAATTTTCGATGCTTGTTCTAGTGGACTTAAGATGGTTATCATCATTATACATGCGCAAACAGTGTATACAGTTGTTTATAATATAACTAGTGTTGAGATATATTCATTTACGGGATGAAAAATAATGATCGTCTCAAACAATTTTTCCTTGATTCACTAAAAATTGGTCATACGATTAATTTCATTATCGAAAAATATCGCACAGCCAATCAGAGTGAAAAAGATTGTATCAGTTTTTTTCTCCGCCATTGAGGGGAGATTCAAAATGAAGCGAGTCGACGCGTTTCCTTACACACTAGGCTTTAATGGCTACGTCAAGATTTGCCAAGACATCTTCTGTACACGAATTCATAGAAGGCAAAGAGAACGAAAATTCGAATAGAAAAGCACTAATATATATATATTTATATAGGCACTGCAGTGGCGGATCCAGGACTTTAAGAGGGGGGTTCATTTTTGCAAATCTCGGCACAACAATAACGTTCTCTTGCATCATCATTTTTCCCATGAGGCACATCACTGGCCTATCTAGGAGCGCTCCTGATAAGGATAGCCTATCCACCAGTCCCATTTCAAATTAAATCTCATGAGTTAGTACCATACTTTTATCTATTTATTTTTWAAAAAATGAATAAAAATAAAAAGGAAATCCAAGGTATGCTTGAAAGAAATGCTTTAAAGAATTTACAATTAATAACAGGCATTCTACGTACAGCTTGAAGGTAAGGCAGCCAGTACCGGATCTAGAAGACAAAATTTCGATACGCATTTCGCAATTAATACTGAAAGGCTGAAAGTTAGTTTGTTTTATTATCTAGTTTTGTTTTCCCGAGAGTCTTGATGTTTCCCAAGGCTTCGGGAAGACAAAACTAACTATTTCCCTCGAGATCAAACATTAAGTGTTAATATTTTATTATTAAAAATACACAGGTGATTATTGAAAATCTTGCGGGCTGATTGGTCGAGAAACTTACACTATCACACGATAATCACCTCCAGCGATAATCCAAAATGGCGGCCAGCCGCTTTGTTGCTGTTACCATAGTCAATTAACTATGCTGTTACCGGAGAGGAATTAGAAGTAATGAAAGAAAATGCTTTCTCCAAAAGGAYGAAAATGGAATTAAAACAATCAAATAAGCTCAAACAAACTGTTTTGATTCGCAAAGTCGGAGTTCGCCTGTGTTCTAATTGAAAGCAGCGTTTGYCATTTCAATTTAATTTTTTCCTAATTTTAAGCGTGTCTTTTATCTTCTTTTTTTCTTTCTTTCTTTCTTTCTTTCTTTTTTTTTTTTTTCGAATCGCCTGTGTATTTATACTAAAACAATTATTTGCCTCAGCCCTCACTGAATATCGGAGATCCGCTCGAAGACTCGCGTCTCGTTAAATATTATATACTTAATGTCTGGTCGCAAGGGAAATAGTTAGTTTTGTTTTCCCGAGAGTCTCGATGTTAAGACATTAAGTGTTTTGTTATATAGCAATTAGGAAATATTGCGAAGTCAGTTTACGAAATAATACTCTTTATTTAGCGAGTTTTAAAAATGCATGAAAACTGAAAATGATTTCACAAATACAACTCACATACGGCCTTGTATTTCTCTACCAAAATGCGAGAGTACCAACAGCTTTTTTAGTCGCTTTTTTCGTATTTTCCGAATCCTTTTTTCTCAATGAAAAACTGTAATTTTTCTGTAGAAACACTGGAAAATCTCTGTTGTTGTTTTGCCGGCTTGTTGTTTAGCTCCATTTGTACTGAAAATTCAAGCAAGATATTTGCTCCCGCATTGTTGTTTGTGATTGGTGCAAAAATATCACGCCATCAGCGTTTTTCACGTTCTGATTACGTGCACTTGTTTATTTTCACGATTATTGTCACGTGCAAGTTATTTCCCGACCGGGAAATCAGTAACTTTCCCGGTCGGGATACATTTAGATTTAACCAGTGTCACGTGTTCATCTTTCAACCAATGAGAGTGTTCGTTTTATCGGAACATTTCGTAGCTATATAACAAATTCCAGATATTCACTTCGCCTTCGGCGAATAATTGTTAAATAAAACAAGTACTCGCCTCAGGCTGTATGAATATCRGGGAATATTTACCAAGACGCGGGTGGCGAATGATTTTTAAATATTGACTTAGTTATACCCCAGCTTATACAGTCATCGGCAAAAACTTTAACCCTTCCTCCATTCATAGCTAATTAAAAGCTGCTGTTTTCTTTGTCTGTGACGTCACGTGCAAACGAAGAATATCACGATTTTCAGAGGATGCAGTATGTATGTTTAGCGGAGTTTACTTTTCCACGTTTTTCGTTCAAGCGTGGATGATAATGAATGTTCCTGTTCTATAAACTATTTAAAAAAAAAAACAGAGAAATAATAAATGCAGCGGGGAAGGACCACAAAGGAACAAAAGTGTTATGTATGCTAGTCCACTCARCAGTATAGAGATAAATCAACTAACAAATTAAATAGATAAATATCTAAAATATTACACTGTCTCCAATACTACTTCCAAGTAACACGTGGTCAGTGTTAATTTCTACCTTCAGTTCTACCAGGRAAAAAATAACTGTAATCGACCATTTTTGAGAAAATAGCAGAAAAACGTCAAAATAAACATCTGTGCAGTGAGTAAATTAGAACTGATTTCTATCTTTTAGATGTGAATACCTGCCTAACAGTCAAATATGTGGATATGAATTATTTTTGTGCCGTGTCTGTTCACTTCTGTATCCCTTAAAAAGTTTTACTTTGATCATATCAAAAATGTTCAGTGCGAGTACCAGGGGTGCTTACCATTTAAGCCAATCCATCCGGTGCTAACAACCAATTAACTACCGTGTTTCTTTACTGGAGACCTTCACTGAGGGGTATGTTTCGTTTATTAAGATTCCTCTGGGCAACACGTTCAACAAAACCCTATAAAACAATGTATCGTTGTAAAGGTTATATGATAAAGATTTCGAACGAAAGATTATTTGAAAGCGATTTTTTCAATTTCAAAAGGTGCCGGAGCTCAGGTTGCAGGTAGTATCACGATGCCGTCACGAATAATGAATGATGTGTTAAGTTTAGGAAGAAATTAACTTTATTACTAACCAAGAAAAAAATGTAGATTGCTTGTGCAAATACGTTTGAGACACTGGTGTAAAAGGTATGGAAACTTCACATGGTAGAGTTCACATCGGTTTCCTGGTTTTTTTTCTTTTTTTTCTTTTTCTGTTTTCTTATTAAAATTGGGACGATAATCAAATTCCTGACTTGCTTTTCTTGTCTGGATTGAAAGACCTTTCATTGTGTTGAAAAAATGTCACTTTCCTTTTTCAAATATCTTTTTTCYTTCAAAAGATATTAGAGGTTTAAAAAAATGGCTGCCATTTTTTCTGATGACGTAAAATTCTCAGCCAGATTTCAATCAAAACCAACCAAATATAGTAGAAAACTTGTTAGGGGCCTGGACACCAGTGAGCTGCCATGGCCAGTTTTCTTCTTTTGTGAAGTACTTTTTTTTAATAGTAAAAATTTGAGACATTAAAATTTCATCGTCGTCCCACTATGTCCTTGTTTTATACCAAGTTTATGAGTTAGAGAGTGCACCGTTTTTGTCAGTCTTTGTTATAGAGTACTCAATTTTGACTTCAATTATTTTCGATCTTTTTACTTTCTATAGGCAATCAAAAAAGACTTTTGCATACCAATTTTGACGAGAATTGGTCAAATATCAGCTGAGATATGACCATTTGAATATATGACTACCCCATACAAATCACTGTATTTTCGGCTTAGTCAAAAACGTTTTAGTTAAAAATAGAGCGTTTTCACTCACGTGAGAAGACAGCCATAAACAATAAAAACTTTCTGCACAGTATTTGCATAAAAATAGAGTTCAACTAACGGAGGATAAAAAATGTATTGTTTTAGTACCCCATAATGGCCGCTGTGACGTCACGTGAAAACGCTCTATACACAGTGATTTGTATGGGGTAATTATAAATTCAAAATGTCCGATTCTCGTCAAATTTGGTTTGTAAACGTCTTTYTTAATTTTCTATCGAAATCTTTAGCCAAAAATACGATCAAGCGAAAATTAATTTTTGTGACGTCATCACTTAAGTACTGTCTTGAGTATTGCCTGCTAAGGTTGCATAACAGTCTTCTCTTGTCTAACTTTTAAAAAATCGTTTATCATAATTCCATACATACATTCGTGATGTAATCTATTTAATGGTGTTGGAAATTAGCTCTTTCACTTCTGTAAGCTGTAATAGGTGATTGTTCCACATTGACATGTCATTCGTGARGTCCAAAATCCCTTTAGTATTACCCAGTCTTGCCTCAGAATTTCATTCAATTTGTTTACAAATTTCAAAACTTCAATTAATGAGGTACATTTTATACAAGGGTTCTTTGACTGGTAGGCCTATCCAACATTTAAATGGATTCTTTATTTTTGCTTGTGTTTGTAGGTATACTGACATTCTGAACTCCTACTGCCAAGTGATAATGTACTTTAATAGTGCATCCAATCCTATTCTGTACGCCTTCCTGGGCGACCTGTTTAGAGATGGATTCAGGAGAGCGTGTGGAATGCGATCCAAGAAAGAACCTTTGTCAAATTGCACTCTCAAAACTGCCGCACCTTAAATGTAAAGAGCTTTGGAATTGGAATTTATTTTGACTTGAGGTGTGGTTCGTTATTGCATTGTGCTCTAGATATATACAAAGCTCAATAAACATAAGATATAACAAACTGCAAAACCGTTCTCGAGTTGAAAAGCATATGATATAGAAGCTGAAACCAAAATGCATTCCGGGAAATTATATGATAATATTCTGATTTATTTATATTTAAAATACGCAGTTTGTATAAAGCATGACTAATAATGTGTAACCAGAAAATCTACAAAGCTTTTCGCTGTCGTATCACAGCGTGGGACAATAACAACAGCCCAAAGATCGAATTAGAATTTAGAAGTTGATTTTTGAGGAGGGAGGCAAACCGTAGAAACCGGAGAAACACCCTCGAAGCGCAGGAGAGAACCAACAAACAACTCTACTCACATACGACGTCGAGATCGGCAGGACTCGAACTCGGGCCGCATTGGTGAGAGGTGGCGCATTAGCAACGCACGCCACCAGTGTTTCCCATAATTCTGGCTTATAGAGAGATTATTTACAGAACTCCTTAAGTCAATGACTATAGATTAATAATTTTAGGTTCATGAATCATTTGGGAAGCAGCTTCTATGTTTTATATTTTGAACCCGAATTAATATCGATTTTGCAACTAGGCATGTATATAATCTTTAGGACGTTACTTTGTGTCGTTAAGTGCACTTTTGTGGTTTTATTAGTTGTCAGTGGCCATGATGCGATCCAGCATTAAAAACTTTATGTTACTGATGTTGTGAAGGAATATTGTCAACAATATTTACCATTCTTATAGCCACAACTTAAACCAATACTATCCAGTGTTTTAATCAAAACCTAGCCACACGTAGTGGCCTTATCTAGCAACAAAATGTAAATAAGAAATCAGATTTAGATATATATAGACAAACTTAGACAGTTCTTACACACACTGAATCGACTTAACTTAGGAGTTAGAAGGCCGAGTGTAAGGCTGTAGCTGTAGTTGAACTGGAAAGCACGGACCTAAGTTAGGACGAATGGCCTAGTAAGGAAATCCTTCTAAAACCACACCTACTAAGGGAACGTCTTTCTAGTCAGCTTCACTGCACCTTACGCTCGTAGCAAACCTCTCGTATTTGTAAAGTTAACTAGTCTCCTAAAGGACAAGCCGAATAAAGAGTGGTATTCCAGGCGATCCCGGAGCTATTTCAGCCCAATTCTAACATTCTAACTAATTCGAYCATTCACATGAAAGTAATTCGTTTCTTACCTTCTAAAGTATATAAGTATAAAATTATAGGTTCATAGCTAGTAATGTCTTACTGATTGCACTGATTGAACGAAATGTTAAACCGTTTGAACTAATGCATCTTACGTTGATCTACCTGCACTTATGTTTTATTGTAACACTGATCGGCTATTATTCATATAAGATCGCATGCTATTTGATGCGTTGACGTTTGAATTAAATGCGTACCAAAGTTCTTGTGAGCCATCACAAGAAAAAAAATGAATTAATGAAACTGGATAACAGGTCTTAGTCAAGAACCTTATTTTATTCAGCTTATTTTCCCTCATTTGAAATGTATGTGCTCATGCGTGTTGCACAAAAGCACAGTTACCTCTTGTGTCGCAGTTTTCTAACTGATCTTAATATGTAGTTATTCTCATCACAACTTCATGCGTGAGTCATGCAGCTTTGTAAATCTTTGGTTCGTGAAAATATGGTTCGATTTCAGTTTTCATAATGCTAGTTACTTGATAGAACACGGTYACAAAAAGTAACCCAAAGGATTAATTAGAACATGACGTTTTCTGCATTCAAATGTGTTTAATATGTTGGGAGGTTTTCTAAAAAAGCCTAACATAGTCTGGTAATGTAAATAAAAATAACTAAGAAACATATATCTTTTGTTACATTAATCATAGCCATATTTATCGTTAAGCTTTTCATGCGTTGACGGCTAAACTAATCTACAACTAAATCACTTTAAACTAATTTGCTTGAAATCTTCATATGTTAACTAGCTACGTATCAAATCATTATATATGTCGAAAAATACTCTTGGTCGGACCCAAATATAAGCTCCGCTGATGAGTTTTAAATTGGGCCCTTCTCAAGATTATCTTGTGTACGAGGCTAACATAGAAATACAAAAGAAATGGCACAAATTCCATCAAAAAAAGTGTTGTTTTTTTGATATTTCCATTATAACCTCGCATCCAACCGTAACATTTCGTAACATTGAAACAGCACCTGATTCCATTTCTTGTGACAAGTCTAGAACATGGATAACGATAATGAGTTGGAAATGTTCCTCTCGCTTAAACGAGTTTTGGTGAAATATTTTGCAATGACGCAAAATAAGGTGTAATGCATGCCTATTATCCTCGAGTTTTTGATGTAATATATCTTTACTGAGAAAACTGTTTTAATTGGTATTTGATTTGCTCTTTTGCAGACCCGACATTTTATGGTTGGTGATGTCATACGCCCAGGTCTTGTTGTACTTCAACAGCGCATCCAATCCCTTGTTGTATGCATTTCTTGGAGATCAATTTAGAAACGGATTTAAAAAAGCACTTGGCATAAAACCCAAACGAGACGGCGCTATATCTACGAGCACCCATGGAACATATGCATAATGTCATCCAGGAAAAGTGATCATGAGGTGGCTTTCATGACTTTCTTCACGACATTTGTGGTATATTTAACAATTATTCGCCTGAGACGAAGTGATTTTTAGGGAAATATTTACCGAGCCGCGAGTCTTCGAACAGCTAGGTAAATATTTCCTCGAAAATCACTGAGCCTGGGGAGAATAATTGTTTTAGTATAATTGTAGACTTGAACTATCAGAGAAAACTCGAAATTAAGGATTAAAAAAGTTTAAGTATTACTTTCGATCTGGACAACTTTGGAAAACCTCATAATCACCGCTCTCAGAATCACCGGTCGCTCAACCAATCACAGCTCGAGAAACTCTATACATGTATTCAAGTCTAAAATTATAATAATTATATTTAGTATACATCCAAACTTGAATATAGAGTTTCACGCGCTGTGATTGGTCGAGCGACCAGTGATTTAAATCCTGAATTTTGATTTTTCTCTGATATTAAAGTCTAAAATTATACTWAAGTACCCGACTCAGTGTTATTATGGTGAATATTCACCGAAAACCACTTCTCTTTCTTCAAATAATTGTTAAATATTTGATAGTACAATTTTAGATTAGTGAGCTGTGATTGGTCGAGCAACCAGTGAGTATTGGACAATATTCACTAGCCGAGAGATGATTATGAGGTTTGCCAAAGTTTCCCAATGTAGAAGTACAGTCGAACCTCTATTAAGCGGTCACCCCTGGGGAAACATCAGGTGACCGCTTAATAGAGATGACCGCTTAATAGAGGTCAAGTTTACAGTAAATACAGTAAGAAAAGCGAATTTTCCGGAAATTATTAAGTGACCGCTTAATAAAGGGTGACCGCTAAATTGAGGGCCGCTTAATAGAGGTTCGGTTGTAATACTAAAACGTTTTCTCTGTTACCGGAATTTTGGCTTGGCTCTGATTTTCAAGGCTAAAATTATAATGAAACAAATATTCACCGAAAGCGAAGCGAATATGGTGCATATTTACCTCGACTACATCTCGTTTAATATTCACCGATATTCACTTTGCTTTCGGGCAATAACGTTTAAACATATGGTCCTAATGTAAATACCTRAAGGATGATTCAATCGCCAAAATATACAGATGCAACTATCATATGATGTAATACGACAACCATCAACTTTCACCATCATTCTTTATTTGGTATTCATTTCTAAATCCTCCATCGAAAGCTATCGGCAGGGGTGATTTTGAAGTGTTCTGGATTTGTTAAAGATTTTGAAATTCTCTCATGTGATAGTTGACAGTATACTCCTATTTCAAAAAGCGTTGTTGGTCGCAGATCTGAAATATGAGATAAAGTAGCACCTGTAATTTGTAATATATTTACAGCCAAACAACGTTATTTCCTTTTAGAATGGAATATGAAGCATGACTTTAGTTAGGAATGTGATTTTTCGTTTTCTCGTATTTTAGCCAGAAAACATAAATGCACCAAAAAATCCGTTTAGTCACAGATAGCCCCAGATTTCAGATATCCGACCGTGACAACTATCAAAATAGCAAATGCATTTAAAGATTGTTTTTTCCTTGAAATACATAGTAGACACTATATATGTATTAGTCAATTTTATGAGTTTTTTTTTTTTTGTTTTTTTTTTTTTGTTTTGTTTTGTTTGTTTTTGTTTTTTTTGTTTGTTTGTTTCTCGTTTTCTTTTTGTTTTCGCTTTCGTGTGTGTGTTCTAATTCTTGGTTTTGGTTATTTATATACAAAACTGACTTCGATGTAAAAGGTAACTTATCATCTTGCATTTGTGGTGCTTCGCTTAAAACTCACTTTGTAAGATATGTTTGAAAAATCAAACATGTAAAAGGCTTTCGAACAATGCGATGCTTACCCTCGAGAAATGCCATTGGAAACTGTAATGGATTCAGTTATAGCCCTTTATTTAGTAAATTCAAAGTCGTGTAATCAAGTTTTCTAATGATATGATCGCTAGGCCCTAACATATCGTTAGTTTACGCATTATATTACGCTAGCTATATTATCTTATTTCATAGAAGTTTGTTGCAATAGACCAATATACAGCAACGGGCCGCGTGATCATTTCCTTAATATTTGCATATGAACATCAAATGAGACGTCATTTGCTTTACTGCGCTGAACTAAAATACAGCACTTGCTCGAGCATAGATAACTTATGGGTAAGGCAGGTTGGTCTCAGGCTGCGTCCATCGCCCAAGATTTAGCTTGTTATCTTAGTTATTCACGTTTGAATAATAATATATTTTAAGTCGTCTAAGCTGCTTGTTATATCTTTATGCTTGCCTTTTAAATATCTTTTCAGGCGCCCGCGGATGGCGTCAGCATCCGTGCTACGTTCACTAAAAAGCACATTTGTTGACCAATCAGAGGGCGCATACTAGTAAAGCTAATTAATAAATATGAAATATAAAGCGATGTAGAACATCCGAACTACGTGCAATGCTTCTTACTCTCTCTCTCTCTCTCTCTCTCTCTCTCTCTCTCTTTCTCTTTCTCTCTGAGTTTTTGAATTTCTGTTCCCTTAAGTTCTAAACCAAACAAAATACGCATGAACTGTTATCAGGAAACAACCTCTTTCATTTGACAGCTTGCTGCATAGTAACAGGTCACTTGCATTTTGGTAGACATCAAGTGATTTCTATAAATCCTCTATTTTATAATGAGCGATACTTGAAACCAGGAGCTCATTGGTTCATTATATATATATATATATATATATATATTTAAAGAGACAGGTCGCTTAAGTACACACTTGCTGCAACAAAAAATTGACTTGCTTTGCGCCTGCCACCTAACAACCTGTCGCAGAAACAAAATTATGTTGCGACGAAAAGAATTTGTCATCATGAATGGGATTGTCGCTCCCTGCGGCTTGATCTTGCGTCGTGTTTATTTACGATTATGGTCACACTAGGTATGGCAGGGAATCAGCAACAGCGTTAACCAATTTATCGAGCATGATACAAGAGCAGCCAAGTGTTCCTACGGCTTGACTCCAGGTGTCCCGACATGAAAGGTTTCAGTGTGTATTGTTTAGCTTTTGACGGCATGCAGCAAGTATAACACTCCTGCAGATAATAATAGATAATCAATCGCGTATTTGCAAAATTGGGTGTTTCAAGTTCAGCGTCAGCAAGTACTGATATTTACCCGAATTGTCGTTGAATAAAACTCATACTTTCTGGTCCGCAATGGGTTACGCCTGACGCATGATTTAAACAAAAGAAAAATCATATATGGACAAGAACATAATCACGTTTAACATTTAAACTTTGTAAAAGGGTGTTTAATATCACCAATTATTTTACTTAGGAATTGGGAAAGTGAGTCATTGCATGTAAAATCATTGTGGTTAAATTAAATCAAACTTCCTCTTGAAACTCATCTATGTTGTTGTTATTTTGACAAATATATGTCTGTACTTTCTACCCTAAAACGATAAACTTTTATAGTATTTACTGTGGTTTTTGTTGAATGTAAAAAATTGACATCAGTTTTTTTCATTTTTCTGTTCTGGCGATAAATTGCGATATTACATTGTCAAAGCTGT